TACCCTTAAAGCAAACATGTGCTTCACCCATTCAGGCATTATTTTTGTAGCATTTTTATATCTCTTTATATTTCTATATTATTATATACACACCTATACATTCATCTTGCTATTCACTTGTTACATAACCTTGCTCTGTTTCTTTATACTACAGTAAGAGTTATCCAGACAATCATACTATAAACCATATTTTTTTTTTCAGTCCCATCACAGGTACATTATAGACCATTAAAATGTTCACACATTTTCCATACATCACAATACTACTTCTATTACAGTCTATAATATTCGCTCTTATAAAGCCCACAAAACAAAGCAAACTTTCTAATTCAAATGGATCATTTCTTGCTTGACATATCTTGTAATGGAAAGGATTGATCTTTCTCTTGAAACTCTTACCGCTCTGGTGAAAGGGACCTGAAATATAGCACCCATAAATAAAGCTATGGATCTCCCTCTGTGGCTCTTAAAACGATTGTTCTTGACAGATTGTGTTGATAAGGAATTAAAAGGCACATCCTCTATTTGTGTGCTGCTTTCTTGTCAATATCACAAAGCCCATAAAGTTTGCAGTCTACTAAATTCTAATGGTAAATAGTGTTATGCTCTATTCAGTCACTTGCAATGTTTTCAAAATGTAGAAAAATAAAATAATATTATAGAATAGTAAGTGAAGCCAATTGCTTTGGGTGATAGATGCCAGTAAGCACCAGTTTACACGTATACACTACAGGATGGTTAGGGATTCCAGTTCCAAATTTATACTGTATGTCAAAAATACATTTACATATCATGTAACAAAGGTAATGTGGAATCCAGTAACAATTTTTTGATAGTTTTCATCTTGGTTGTATGTAATACTACCCATGCACACAATTGCTAGTACCAAAGCTGGAGGCTCCTAAGGTATGCTTCATCAAATTTGGTGCAGCAGGCTATCAGAGTCTTGCCTCCACCCCCATTCCTGAAAAATGTTAGTATTAATATTGTCTTTTAAGTAAGATATAGTAATTGAGACTTTGCATGTATTCAATTACACTATGATATAGAATTCATACAGATATATCTATTTTTCTATTTAATATTCATTCACATGTTTGTTGTGTATATATACCCAAATGTTATATAGATTTCACAAAAAGTGCAAAACCATTTGGAGGGTTCTTTTTAGTTTTCATTGATGATGTTTTAAATATTGTTGTTTTTTTTAAACATGTCAAAACTATCTTTGTGAGTTGGAAAAAGGTCGGAACCACTTGCTTATTCTGTGGAAACGTAAAATGTCCTTAATATATATGCCTCCATGTATAAACTGAAATGGTTTGCTATTTTTTTTTTCAAGACACTAGAGGTGAGATTTTGAGTTTGGGTAAATTTTAATTTATTTTACATCAGGGAACATGGGTGTGAAAACATCTGGTAACACCCTTGTTATAGGAGGGGAAGTGAGATTTCAAACAGGCAGGAATAGAACTTATGGACCACAGCAGGGAGAAGCCATGTGACGACACAAACCATCAAATCGCTTTCTAAAAAGATAATTTGGCCTTGCAGTACTACTTAAGGAGTTCAACATAGAGGCCATTTTAGCATGATGATTCAGGATCATCACTGTCTAGTAAGAGATGCATTCAACATACCTAAATATTTAAAATTTGAGCAGGTAGCCCCATACATCTACTTAAATCTTGACACATATGACTGTATGGCAGTTCTACTGACTGCTCTAAAGTATTAGCCTAAGATTTTGATGTATAATCCATAAGCGTTGTATATGAATGTTTTATTTTCTGTGTATTCCTTTGTTCCTAAGCTTCTCTAATAAATTTGCTTTATTGAGAATCTGGGGCACATGAAGAACTGAAGTTTTTTTTGGACTGTTAAACACTACAGTGTTACATTATAGGAAAATTATCTGAGTTGTAAATCACTTGAAGAAGTTTGAATAGAAAGGGCCACTTTATTCATCAGATTATACTATCTGTTCCCCACATTTACACAAGGAAGTTGTCGCTTGTTCATCTTCCTTTAGATTTAACAAAACCATATAATATGAGGTCAAACTTAAACACTTTCAATTTTGTGTGCAGTTAGGCAGGCACTTGCACTACATAGTTGAAGGTAAATCTAAAGGAAATTAAATAAGAAAGTTGTATAATGTATAATGGCTTAAAGTGGAAGTAAAGTATTTTTTTAAATTGTACCTACAGGTACAGAGGTGTTAGTGGTGGCGGAAGCTGGTAGTGGCTGTGGGGAGGTGGGGGTTGCTGGTGGGGGTGGGGGGCTCCTGATTTTTTTAGTGTTACCTAGGGCAGCTCAAGGAATAAATACACCACAGAGTGCACTGCTGGAGGGCTTGGTTCTAAGGTAAGTACTTCATAATGTGCTAGTATGCTATGCTAGTATGCTATGCATACAAGAAAATTAAGCCATTGTCTTGCAGGTTTAAAAAAAAAAGAGAAGGTCGTGGTTTACTACCACTTTAAGCACATTGCTATCTGTTACAGACTGATAAGTGATGTGAAAGAGTACTTGTTAGGTTAAAATGTACATTACCTAATTTTATTAAGCCTTTTTAATGGTTTGTATGACTTTAGAATAGGTTTTGTTGGAATGTGTTAGTGAAATGCCTTTTTCATTTTCAAAAGAAATATTTTAACAAGCGCAGTGAAAAGAAAATTCTACAGGGTCACATCTGTCTACTAAAATATGACTTTTGAAACAGGGGCTGGTGATTGCAGTAAATAAATGTTACACTCTAAACAAGTAATTCCACATCAGAATAATAAATAGTGACTGTTGAGGTGGGGATTGATGAGTATAGTGTGCAAATGTACACTGACCTCCATGTCTTTGCTTTTTAGATCCAACATTTAAATGTCCATGATCAAGTACCCTCTGGGAGCTGTAAACCATGCCTCAATTTAATCTCCACTAGGTGTTGATCCATATATGTCCATGGGGAAATGCTGTCTACAGTCATGGAGATTGAGGCCCAGACCCCAGGTCCTGGCTGTTACTCAAACTGGAATTTTCATGCAGAAGATCAGATTGTTTTGGCACATTAATATGTGCTCCCTCCATTCCTACCAATACTGTTTTAAATAATGTACCTTGGAGATAGCCTTTACAGTTTACACTTCCAAGTCAAATGTCCAGTATGCTTCAATGCATTTCCTTAAACACTCATTAGCTCAGTGGGCTGTAGAATAGTAATAGGTTGAATGTTCCTAATAAACATAAGTGCTAAATGAAGCATTCACTTTGACTGCAAAAAACACTTATTGCACTGTTCAAGAGATATTGAGTGTACTCACATTCACCTTTACATTACCTCTTGGGCATTTTCTCTTTCTCCAGTGACTGAACAAGCTCTGAGTCTATAAGGCTGTGTTTATGTTCAATAAATATGTGATTTTATTTTTTTAATTGCTTTTCATGTGCAATTTGACCCTGAATTATAATATTTATTGGCATAAATAGAAAATCCAACTGAATGCATTAATTCATTTTACAAATAATAATAATAATATGATCATAATATAATCTAAACCATACCTGACTCCATAATTCCAATAGAACAAAATGTTAAATATGCAAAGAAAAGCCTTTATTAAAATAATCACAGCCAGGAGGACAAGTTCTTTTAGAAACACCTGTGTGGTTTTATTTAGGGATTACATGTCTTTTTTAATATTCAGTGGGAGCCTCTAAACATACAAATAGAAATGTTTAAAATCTGTTCTAGCAAATCAGCATCTGAGCTAATCGGATTATATATTTGTGACTGTTTGAACACTACAGGGTTTAAGGAAGCAAATATTTGCTGTTACCAGATTATTCTAGCTATTGACAGTTCCTTGTTTTGTTTCCGATGATGCAATACTTGTGAGCCCTTCCAGCAAGAGTGATAATTAGAAATCTTTTTTTTTTTTTTTTTTTTTTTTAGTGCTTTGTTATCTTTTTAGAGAGCATTATGATAAATGATTAAAAACTATGTGAGTTACAATACAATATGTACAATAAAGCAAAACCATCATGAAAAGCACTTTGACCTAATAACAATCACGTTAATTTGTTCTGACTACTCCAAGCAAAGCTAAATCTGATTGCTAATGGTTACTCTGCTTTGCAGATTTTATTGCAGCAGCGTCTGAAAATATATGTATACACATTTGAGGTATACATTCTGCTGTTATATTGAGTATTTCTTTTTGCTGCTAGCTACTGCATTTGATTTTGTCATGTCTGTCTTTGTAGACAGCTCAGTGGTGTATGCTGAGACCAAAAAAAAAATTCTTACCAAAAATCACATTTCTTTCTGTATAATTGAAGTTAAATCATATATCAGAATGGTGAACAAGACTCTCTCCTTTATGGATCTTACCCTGGGGGATCTGAGCAACTAACCCTACAATCATGTTGTACTTTAATGGAAGTAAAGGATCTAATGTACATAGGCTAGAGTTTTCAGCTCTAATTCCCACCAACTGTTCTACAACATAGATCATGGCTTGAATAATTCCAGAAATTAGAAAACAGAGGGAGGTGCTCTTCGAAAAACTGATGGCTCTTATTTCTTAGCCTAATGATTTGGAAATTAAACATGGTACTTAGTAATTGTATTTCATATTTTTATTTACAAATCTGGATGAATGTCACATGACATAATAACTAAAACAGAAGAAATAATCTTCATTTTATAAGTATTACTAGAGGAAATCATAAAGATACCTAATTTTGTTATTAAATGTTTAAAGCATTTTACCAAATACAGATGAGGCTACATTCCTAAACAATTGGATTATCTAATGCCCCATACACACGATAAGAATGTCAGACAAATGATCATCCATTTTTTTTTTCGCATGCTAGTCTCCATATTGAAAATGAAGAGGGTATTAAACTTACGAAAAATTCTCGTACGAAAGAAAAGAATTTAGAAAGTGATGTAATGTATTTTATTGTATTTGTAATGTGTTTTCGGCCAACTACTTTACTGATTAACCTCCCTGGTGGTATTCCTGAGTATAGCTTGGGGTTAACTTTTAGTACTAGAAGTGGTAACCCCGAGCTACACTCGGGAATACACTGCAGCACTTCTCCAGCAATCCCTGTTTAACTTACCTTGTCCTTGCGCTCCCGCGATGTCCCCCCTGCAGCGTCCCCGGCCATGTCCTCCTGCCGATGCCGGCATCCGTCTTCTGGGTTCCGTTCCCTGAGAGCGTCAGGAAGTACGAGACGCACAGGGGAAGGAACCGGCTGGAAATTCAAAAATGTCAAAATGTGACATTCACTCAATACACTAAAATTTGATAGTTTAACATTACTGTATGAAACCATTTCACATACATTTTGTCCCAAGTGCTTTGTCCCCTGCCTGCATTTTTACAGTTCTTTCTGCCTGGAAACTGAGAAATGTCCATGGCGTTCAAAAAGCGTACCTTTAGGTCAAAAGCGGTTTTAGACCAGCTAGGGAACAGCGATAGTAAATCAGAACCACTTGCAGAATTGAGTGATAAGGATTCGTGGGGAAATTTCGTCATCAGACACTGAAAACAATTTTGCCACTGAACTCAGCGATGTGCGAACTTGGCGCTCTATTTCAAATTTCAGTGTTTTTGGTTTGATTACATTATTGAATTAAATTTATTATTATTATATTATTATTTTTTATGATTAGTTATTATATTATAATTTATAATTTCGTGTTTCAAATTTTATCATACCCAGGATGTTTACTAGACTCTTGTTCGGACAGATTTCAGTGAGTTATTCCTAAGAATTACAGGGCTAAAATAAAAAAAAATAAAAAAACTTCCATTGAAAATAATGTACCGCTTTGAGCACAGAAATACTGAGATAATCAGACTGCTAGGGAGGTTAAACAAAAATCATACAATCTGGTATCATACAAAAAACATTTTTGTGCTTGTCCCTTCGGATATTGTCACATGAATTGTCATGATCGGCTCTCAGAAGCTGTGTACTAACAATCAGATTATCAGATGATCTGTCCACGTATGAAAATTTTTGTACAATTTTCTTATCGTGTGTACGGGCCTTAGGATCTTCAAGACAAAACTCCACCTTAATCACAACCCAGGAATTTTGTTTTTTTTGCATTTTTTTATGCGTTCCAAGGCAAGGAAACATATTTTACAGGATGCTAGAAACATAAATATGTTGATGTTTAAAGGGCATCATCTTTCAACTCTGATATTTTGTCTGCAACACTTGCCAGACTACAGCAAGTGAAAGATATACCAGCAGTCCTGATGACTGCACCAATTAGGGTCCTCTAGGGATTTCCTTTCAAATTATTAGTATGATATAATGGCACATTTTTACTCTGTTCTAACACCTTGGGTGAGGATTGACATTTTTGATAAAGCTTGCTTAAGACAATTAGGATGGCCATAGTTAGCAATGTATCTCTGAGAATGATGGGTGGGAAGATATGTGCCCATCTTTAAACTGACTGCACTGTCACACTGCGAATCGCCATTATCTTCAATGGTGATAGCAGTTTATATGCATTTGCTTTGATCCTTCCTCCTCTGTTTCTGTGTAGTGGAGTAGGGATATGGGTCTGAACATCTTTTCCTCTGATTGGAGTTCTGAAAAGGCCCAATGATTGCTAATGATGCCCAAAATTCGGAGAATTGCTCGAATTTATATTGGCAGACTGTTTACCACTGCTCAAGGTAGAGAGACTCCTATTCTCCAAGCACAACTCCTTCTGTAGGTGCTACCCCAGCTAGTGTGCTGCATAGATGAGAACAAAGGAAGCCCAATCGGCTGCACTCCAAACAATGCACTTTATTGTACCAAGATAAATCCAATACAAACAGTGGAAATACAGTGGGAGACTGGCAGGTAAACACGTTGCACGCTAAAGACATCGCTTATTCATTTCCCAGTGGACCCATGTACAAAGTGTTGGTTTTAAGCACCAGCAACAGCTGTTCCTCCTAATCAACATTGGTTCCACCTCCTGCTATACCAAACCTATCTAAAGGTAAATGCAGTTCTGCAACTAACAACAATTTTAACATCCCAAAGTGCAAAGCTCAAAATCCAACACACCAACCTAAAGGATATGTGGAAGTATTCCCGCATTGCACAATCAAGATGAAAAAAAGTTAAAATAAAATAAAGCTGTAAAGAATGTATGGGAAGAAGAAACAAAAAACAACATACCATGAAGAAAACACCACATCATGTATACATGTATGTATATTGGATCTGTCCCAAATAAGAAGATATACAAATGATAAAAATAGATATGCCTCAGATCAATAACAAGTCTCTGTCCTATCCTCACCATCCCAGATATAATAAAGACCAAAAAGGAAATAATTAAAAAAGATCAGCACCAAATAAAAGCATGTAGTTAAATAAATACATGTATTCAAAAAGCTGGTAAAACATAATCACATCGGGGGGGGGGGGTGAGGCCATGGCTGGGCAAGGAAGTCACTTATGAAAATGGGTAAGATCCCATTCAGAATTCAAACAATTAGGAATACATGTACACAAATAAAAAATCCTAAAGACGTTACGTTTGCACAGCAATCTAAAACCATCTCCACCTGTCCACCCTCTCAGTGCCCGGTATGCTCAAAGTACTAATGTCACCTCCATGAGCACTGTCAAAATGATTAGCGACATTGGTAGAATGATTCTTTTGTATGTCATAAACATGATCATGGAGGCGATCTTGTTGCCTCCTAGTCGTCCTACCAACCTATTGTACTTGACAACTTCTACAGGTGATCAAATATATTAGATGCTTAGTAGTACAGTTGATACAGTTCTTGATCCTGTAAACCTTGTCATTAACCATGGATCTAAATTCCTCCCTTTCTTATTACAAGAGCAATAGGGACAGCTGTCTATACCACACCTATAGTTACCCTTAAAACTCAGCCATGTTCTCTGAGTTTTTCTAGACGAGAAATAGCTAGAGGACAGAGTATTGCCCAAAGTTGGCGCACGTCGGGAAACAATTTTAGAACCATGGGACCATATTTGTGCAAATATGTCATCACTCAGAAGTATGGGAAGATAGTGCTCAATGATCCTTTTTATCCTCCCAAACTCTAGGCTGAAAGCAGTGGAGAAAACCAGTGGCCCCTGCCTGGAACTACACCTCTCCTTTGTTATTAATAAGTTGTTCCTGTCAGTATTGTTAGCTACACCCACAGCACAATCTATCATGGGCACTGGATAACCTCTTTGTAAAAAGTGAATCCTCATGTGTGTCACCTCTTTATTGAAATCTTCATTGTTATTACAAATCCTACACAATCGTAGGAACTGTCCCATGGGAATGCCTCTAACTGTGTTTGGGATGTACTGATTCAGCTCTTAAAATGCTATTGCTGATAAGGGTTTCCTATACAAACTGGTGACAACTACACCCTCACTACCACTCAGTGGGACATCCAAGAAATTAATACTATGATCACTCATCTGTCCAGTGAAGCCGAGGTTAAGTTCATTGTCATTGAGATGTGACAAAAAACATTCCAAATCCCCAAATTCACCAGAACAGATAAAAGTGAAGTGGATTGTTTGGAATGCAGCCGATTAGACTTCCTTTGTTCTCATATATTGGCAGTATGGTTTACCCTAACTACAAATAAAAGACAACCTAAATGCAAAGAGGACAATAGTTAATGTGTTTATGAGAGCTGGAAAGGAACAAAAAACATAAATAGACCATTTTAAATTGGTTTGGAGAGAATAATGTTCAGTTTATGCTTTAATTTATGAGAAACCAAGCTTTTGCTGAGTGATACAAAATCCTAATTCAACATCCCGTAGGCAGTGGCGTTAATTATGCAATTATTTTTACATTCAATAATATCTTGTTTTTGTTTAATAAGTTATACCTGTTTTGGAACATGATACATTTTTATCTATACCATCACTGTATCCTTACGTTGAGCTTATTTATGTCTCTGGTCATTCCATCTTGGTTTAAGCTCAATAGCTTATGGCTGGAATGACTTAATAATATGATTTAATGCATGAGCTTTTTAAACCCCTTTTCTCTGTTATCCTTAGTACTTGACAAATCTTTAGTACATTTGTTATTTGGACCCCCCAAGATCATTACATTTATTCTCTTCAATGGTCACAAATATAATCCACTTTAAAAAATATGTAATTCCCATTATGAAAGGTTAAGAGCAGATATCATGATATTGCAAGAGACCCATTTTGCCAACAATAAATACCTTAAATTTAGAAAGATAATCCACACATTACTATACTGTCCAATAAAGAAATTTTCTCTGACTTTTCTTTTGTGTCTCCAGGACAAGAAGTAAATGAAAATCCCCCCATTGGGCACAGGCAAAAAAAAAAAATAAACTAGCAGGAATTTTCATCTTTCCTTATGCTATTTAAAACCAAAAAGAAAAGTTCTGGCTATACATTAACTTTAAGTAAATAGCAGCCTTGTATTAACTGTTTAAAGGGTCATTTTTTTCAAGTATACTAAAAGTCTGTACAATATTTGACCGTGAACAATCCGACAAGATCTCAAACTAAAAGGTGGTCATACTTTCAGTGCTGCCATTGTTACCCCAACTCATCCTAATCTGGGAGGGGCTAGGCTTTAAAATTTAGCCTGCAAGATTAACATTTGCATGTGTATCTTCCTGATCCTTTGGCTGAATTGATGCCATAAGTTGGCACACACATAGTCCCCAGAATACTACAAATGCCTCATACAGGAAAGTAGGACAAAGAAGTTGGAATACCCGAAACATCAGAGGAGCTCCTACATCTCCATATTTAGCTAGTAGTCACTGGGTGGTTTTCACCTTCCAGAAGCATCAGACAGATTCCCCTGTAGAGTAGCAGCTACAAAGCTAGATGTTTTTCTGTTAAGCCATCTAACCAAGGTTTGCAGGAAAGAAAATCGCTCTATTCCCCCATCAACACAGTCAGTGTTGATGGGGGAATCCTGCCCACTCCTGCCATTTTGTTCTACCAGCGGGAGGGTGGGGAGAGCACACAGTGATTACTACTAGTGGGTATAATAGCGGCTAGCAATAATCGCATGTAAAATCTGACAGGCTGGCTGTATCCAAGTTGATCGAATAATCAACTTGGGTACATTCAGCATGCCCATACATGGTTCCAATCTTGGCTGGGCCCTGCTAAGCCAGCCGAGATTCGAACCATCTATGGACAACTTAACTCCATTATGGTTATTACTCTATCAAGATCTTTTGGATCCCCATGGCCTCCAAGCACACAGCTGTCTCTCACAGAGGGGCAACAGCCTCTAGGGTTGGGCTCCAGTCCTGGAGCATAAAGCAGTATTAAGCCCAAC